GGCTAGGCTCCCATCAAGCCAGAACATGAAGTAGGATCAAAATCCCTTGCCATTGACCTTGGCTTCTCATCAGTCCTCATTGTTCGCCATGATCAGAGAGTCCGGTTTTATCCCATGCTGTTTCAGTCACAGTCCAGCTGGCTTTGGTGAGCTCCCAATAGATCAGCCCCACTGTCTCAGTGGGTGGGTGCACCCCCCGTGGTCCTGACATCCTTGCTCATGTTCTCCCTCCATCTGCTTCTCATTGGGACCTTGGGAGCTCAGTCCAGTGCTCCAGTGTGGGTCTCTGTCTCTATCTCCATCCATCACCAGATGAAGGTTCCCAGTGATGTCTCTCCTGGTCCTGGTTTAGTTTTTTGTTTGCTTGCTTTTAAGATAGGGTATGACTTCATAGCACTGACTGACCCAGAACCACAAACAAGGTAGTCCAGGCTGGCCTTGAATTTACTAAAAAAATCAACCTACTTCTGCCTTCAGAGTGTTGAGATTAAAGGTGGGCACCGCCCCTCCCAGCAGTGATGAAGCTTCATGGTTGGGTTTAATGTGGATTTGTGCCTCAGAAGGCAATTGGGGAGGTAGACAGGTGCTCTAGACAGGAACCCTCTAATAGGAAAGGGACAGGCGCTGGAAGGCTAGAGGCAGGGCCGAAGGTTTGTGCCTGCAGGAACCAGGGATTGGATTGAGGAGGTTCCAGGAGGGAGTGGCCTGACCCTCAGTACCAGGCAAGTTCTTGGTTTGAGGTGTGCAGGGTGTGCAGGTACCATGTCCCCATTTTCAAGTGAAAACTGAGGCCAGATCACAGTCACCGGATAGCTGCCCAATGCTTCTGACTGCATGCAGATCTCCCAAGCTCCAGAAAACACAGACCCAACCAGAACTGGGCGGGAAGGGTGGTGTAGCAGGAGGGCTAAGGTTGTCCCACGGCCAGAGGGTCATGGGCGTGGAAGCGCCGAGGAATGTGGGTACTAGTTGGGCCTAGCCCAGCCCCTCCCCGTCAGCGCGGGCTCCTGCAGTTGGTCTGCTTCTCTCGTCAAGCTAACGGCTGGACATCATGCAGCGCAATGGGAGGCTTGGTTTATTTCTTTAAAATGTTGTGATTTTTTTTTTTAGCTCATTCTCATGGAACAGGCCTATAATTCTCGCCCTTGGTAGGCTGAGGGAAGAGGATCATCATGAATTCAAGGCCAGCCTGGGCTACGCAGTGAATTCAAAACTAGCCTGGGCTACATTCTTGAGTCTAAAAACAAAAGAAAAAAAATGGTTTGTCATTTGAATTATTAAGATAAAATACCCTGTAGTTCAAAGCCATTTCTTAAATCCTACTTACACAGCTCAGCATCTGTGCAGACGCTAACAGTAACAGTGGCCACTCTTTCACCAAGCTTCTCTTAGAGATCCAGGAGGAAAAAACAAAAAGAACTCAACAACTGCTCCTTGTCTGGCCTGTTGTAGAGCTGCCCTGTCCCAGACCCTCCACCTCAGGCCTCACCAGGAGAGCACTCCAGGCCTGAGTGTTTCCAGCAGGGAAGGAGAGTGGGGGAGAGGGGAGCAGGCAGGAAGAGGGCACTGGGCTCGGCCTGGGCACACCCACAGTGGCTCCTCCCTGGCTCTGTGGACCCAGAGAAACTAGACATTTCTTTAAAATGTTCACCTTGAGAACAAAAACAAAACAGTTCTTTTGTTTGTTTTTCTTCTCTGTGTAAGCCCTGGGCTTCCTGGAACTCACTCAGCTCCTTAGACCCTGCTGGCCTTGAACTCAAAGATCTACCTGCCTGCCTCTGGAGTGCTGGGATTAGAGGTGTGTGCCAGTTGTAAAACAGTTCTTTCTGGGATCTGAGGAGATACCTTTGTGGGTGAACATGCTTGCAGATCAAACGTGAGGACCTGAGTTCAGATCCAGCACCCAAATAAGCCAGGGGTGGGGATGGGCAACATGTACCTGTCTTAGCAGATCTTGGGCATAAGCAAGCCAGTCTAGCTGAAACAGGATGCTCCAGACTCAGAGAGAGACCTCGTCTCAAACATTAGGAACCCTTTCCTAATTAGGCACACACCTTTACCAAGCACTTGGGAGGCTGAGGGGGGTAGCTAAGCTTTCTGTAGTTTGGGGCCAGTCGGGTTTACATATGGAGTTCCAGAACAGCCAGAGCTACATAACAGAGAGGTCCTGTCTCAAAAGATATTGAGGCTGGAAAGATGGCTCAGCCGTTAAGAGCACTGACTGTTCTTCCAGGGGACCCAAGTTCAATTCCCAGCACCCACAAAGCAGCTCACCACTGTCTGTAACTCCAGAATCCAGCACCCTCACACAGACATACAGGCAAAACATCAATAAAATACAATAAAAATTAAGATACTGTAATCCAGCATTCAGGAGGCAGAGGCAGGTGGATCTCTCTGAGTTTGAAACCAGCCTGGTCTGCAGAGCAAGTTTTAGGGGAGCCAGGGCTACACAGAGAAACCCTGTCTCGGAAAACAAAACCCTAACTAAATAAAATAATGTAACACGTTGACAAGATGACTTAGTGGATGAAGGTGCTTGCTGCCAAACCTAACAACTAGAATCTGGTCCCTAGGACTTGGTAAGAAAAGAACTACCACAAATTGACCTCCAACCTTCATGTGCTTGCTAAGACAATTGTGCAGCCACCACAAAGCCAAAGAAGGGGGGGGGGGGCTGGAGAGATAGCTTAGAAAAAAAAAAAAAAAACAAAACCCAACCCTGTTTCTTTTGCCCAGGACCTGGATTTGATTCCCAACCCAACACTCACGCCACTGCTCACAACCATCTCTAACTTCAGTTCCAGGGCATCCGACACCCTTTTCTGACCGGACATACATCCAGTGCACACACTTAACATGCAGGGAAGAATATCTATACAAATAAATCTTTTTTTAAAACTTAATTAAATTAAAATGTTCATGTTTGAACATTAGCACTTCATGAGTTAAACCATTTACAGGCTAATCCCAGAAGTTTTTGAGAAGCAGCACACTCCTGTAGCCAGGCTGGACAGCCTCACTGGACAGCCTCGTAGGCCCGAACAGCAGCCTCACTGTCAATGGAAACCGGCCTGGCCGGAGCGCTGGCGAGATGACTCAGCGGTTAAGAGTAGTGGCTATAGCCAGGCACAGTGGCCCACGCCTTTGATCCCAGCACTTTGGGAGGCAGAGGCAGGCAGATGTCTGAGTTTGAGCACTGGAGAGATGGGTCGGTGGTTAAAGGCACTTGTTGCTTTGCAGAGGACTTGAGGTCAATTCCAGCTCCCATATGATGGCTCACAACCATCCATAACTCCAGTTCCAGAAACTCCAACACTCTGACACCTTCTTCTGACCTCCATGGGCACCAGGCATGCATGTGGTACATGTTATACAGGTGGGCAACACACACACACACACACACACACACACACACACACGAAAGATAAAAATTGTTGAAGGAAGGGAAGGAGGGGAGACAGGAGAGAAAAGAAAGAGGAAGCAGGGAGGAAAGCAATGAAAAGGCCTAAAGAAAAGCAAAGACGTGGCAGTCTCTGCTCTAACCCTGTCAGGCAAACAGGCTAGCCTCAGGATGCTGGTGTGGCTGTCAGGGTGATGCTTTCCTGATCTGTTAGTCTTAGCCACAACCTACCCTCCTCTGACACTCTTAACCTGGAGTCCCTGTTACCAGACCTGCCACTGTCTGGCCTCCACAGGCGCTTGGTGTCTCTTGTGAAACACAGGAGAGCTCAGAAGAGCAGCCAAGACGTCCTCGTGGGAGACAATGCACTGGTGTGATGCATATTTGTGATAAGGAAACCCAAGTGAAGAGCTGGGGGGGCCTCCAAGAACAGTGCGTGACTATGTAAGCCAATCCAGAACACCGCGTTCCTTTCCCGCCTGCTCCTCACACCAGAGAGTGGACACAGAGTCTCCTAGGTCTCAGTAACCCAGGGAAGGTGGACATAAGGCCTGGCAGCCAGGGTGAGCATACAGACCAAGAAGAGCCTGGGAACAGCTCTGGGAGGGCAGAGAGCCCTGTGCAGACCTGGGTCACGTCCCCCGGCCCACCCTCACAGCTCACAGCGGCCTTGCTCCACAGCCAAGAGGCCAAGGCTCCTCCCTGTTTTTCGGCATCCCTGCCTGTGGCCTGGTCCCTGCTGCTGGATGACAGCCTTCTGCCAGCAACACTTCTCTGAGGCCTGTGCATACCCCCACCGCATCTCGGATCTGCCTCTGCGGAACCAGTGCAAGCGCTGGAGAAGTGGCTCCGTAGTTACGAGTACTGGCTGCTCTTCCAGAGGACCCGAGTTTGAGTCCAGGCACCCGCATAGTAGCTTACAGTTGTCAGGACTCCAGTTGCAGGGGTTCCAACACAATCTCACATACAATAAAAATATTTTTTTTATAAAAAAAAATGAAAAAATGTGCTTTAGAAAAAAACGAATCAAGCCGGGTGGTGGTGGCGCACGCCTTTAATCCCAGCACTTGGGAGGCAGAGGCAGGCGGATCTCTGTGAGTTCGAGACCAGCCTGGTCTACAAGAGCTAGTTCCAGGACAGGCTCCAAAACCACAGAGAAACCCTGTCTCCAAAAACAACAAAAAAAAAAGTTGAAAAAACTAATCAAGCAAACCGTGCAGATCCTGAAGCGAACAAGCAGCCTGTTTGCTGCCTGCGCTGAATTCCTTCAGGGCGGAGGAGACTCCACAATGCTGAGGCTCAGTGCCTCAGAGATCTGTTGGTTTTTTTGAAATGGTTATGAGGACATGATGATAGCTACTCAGGAAAGCAACATGTTGAAGTCACTTCTGAAACAAAGCAAATACATTTAGAAATAATCACATCGGCTTGCTTTTTAGTGGTATTTATTCTAGGGCCATAGAATGTCTGGCACTCACTCCTGCTTAGCAAGCTGTGGTGATAAGAACCAGATTCGCCAAGATACCAAGCAGCTGTGTGCAGATAGGAGGATGGGCATCACTGCCAGCACCCTGGGTAGAGGGGCAGAGGCCAATTCCAGGTCACCAGGTCATCTGAATGGAGGCCACTTCTGGGCTGCAAGGAACAGTGGTGAGCAGGCGGTACAGTGCTGAGGAGGTGGAGAATGGAACTTGGAGAAGCAGGGGAGGATGGCGGTTGAGGCCAAGTCTAAAGAAAAAGAGGAACTATGCAGACAAGAGCCCTCAATACCCTACAACACATCCACACATGAGGCTGGGGGCTGAAGGCTCCCTGGGTGGTAGAGCCCTGTCGGGCCTGCCCAGGGCTCTGTTTGTCCACCAGAGTGCAAGAGAACGGCCACAGGATCGAGGTCAGCTGTTCTCGATGTAAAGTTCCAAACCAGCCAGGACCACACATGGGACTCTGTCCCAACAACCTCCTCCCCAAAAACATTTTAAGTCAGCATAGGGTACATAGCTGAGGCCTCAAGAAGCAGGGAGAGAGAGCTAAAGAAGAGTTAAGGGGAGGAAGAGGGAAAAATGCTAATAAAAAGAAGTCTCCAGAACTCTGCCAAGGTGGGGTGCTCAGGCTCCAGACAACGCAAGGGATATTCCCAGGGAATGTGCCATGGCAGGAGCCCCTGCAGGAGGTCCTCAGGTGCCTAGATGGCAGCCCAGGCTTCTCTGAGAAACAGAAGGGAAGTTCAGTGATGCAAGAAAATGTCCAGCTAGATGTGGTGGTGCAGTCCTTTAACCCCACAGGCAGAGGCAGGCGGATCTCTGTGAGTTCAAGGCCAGCCTGGTCTGCAGAGCAAGTTCTAGGACGGAAAAGCACTGTCTCAAAAAGAAAAAAAAAAAAGAAAAAAAAGAAAAGAATGTGTTCCATGACAGCTAAAGCCTCTGAAGGAAAAAAATCAAATTATATAGATATAGATAGATAGATAGACAGACAGACAGACAGACAGAAGCCACAATGGCCTGAATGTAGCTCAGTGTTAGAACACTAGGGGGCTGAGGATATTCACTTGATAGGAGTGCTTACCTAGAATTCGTGGCTCCATCCACCCTAGTGTTAGAACACTAGGGAGCTGAGGACATTCACTTGAGAGGAGTGCTTACCTAGAATCCGTGGTTCCATCCATGCCAACACCGCATAAGTAAACACGGTGACACACGTGTGTCATCCTAGTATGTGGGAAGCCAAGGTAAGAATTCCAGATCGGCTAAGGCTACACAGGAAAAAAAAAGAAAGAAAAGAAAAACAAACAAACAAAAGTCTTGCTTGGCATGTGAAGAGAATAATCTCCAACCTCACACAATAAAGTATATCTAATGTCATGATCAAAACACTCTGTTAACTAACTGGGAGTAAAGAGCCCAGATTCAGTTATGTCCAGTTCTCAGGAGTCTACACAGCATGGCGGCGACACACACCTGTGTAGTCACGGCTACTCCAGAGACACCTGTGTAGTCAGTCACAGTTACTCCAGAGACACCTGTGTAGTCACAGCTACTCCAGAGACACCTGTGTAGTCAGTCACAGCTACTCCAGAGACACCTGTGTAGTCACAGCTACTCCAGAGACACCTGTGTAGTCACAGCTACTCCTCAGAACAAGGCAGGTGGGTCAAATGAACCAAGAAGTCGCTGACCAGCACAGGAAGCACATATATTTTGTACACATGGATGTTCTGCCTACATGTATGTCTGAGGCCAGAAGAGAGCATATACGCTCTGGACTAGAGTCAGAGACAGTTGTGAGCTGTCGTGTGGGTGCTGAGGATACAGCTTGAGTCTTCCGGAAGAGAATCCAGTGCTCTCAACCACTGAGTCATCTCTCCAGCCCCATCGAGCCTGTTCTGGAACTTGCTTTGTAGACCAGACTGGCCTCGAACTCACTCACAAGATCCACCTGCCTCTATATCCCAAGTGCTCTAGGGCTAAAGGTGTGTGCCACCACACCCAGTTTTCTTTTTTTAGGCAGGGTCTAATACAGCCCAGGGTGACCTTGAACTCATCCTCCCGTCTCTGAATCCTAGGTGCTGAGTTTACGGGAGTAGGTCGCCACATCATTGAGACCCCCCACACACACACACCTCTCTTTAAAAAAAATCTAAAGACAGATTAAGAAAGCCTGGAATCAGGCTGGGTGGTGGTGGCATGTTTAATACAAATTCATCTTTAAAAAAACAATTTTTGCTTTATGGTGGTGGTGTATGCCTATAATCACAGCACTTGGGAGGCAGAAGCAGGCAGATCTCAGCGAGTTCAAGGCCTGCCTGGTCTACAAAGCCAAAACTGTAGAGAATCCCTGTGTCCAAAAACAAACAAACAAGAAAACCAAGAATCCTGCAATGAAAAAATAACTGACCGGCTAACACAGCTGCTTTAGGCTAATTTTTCTGTGGAAGGATTAAGGTAAAGTAGATGTCTCAACGAGGAGTGTTCCAGATAAAAATGTCTGTGTAGCAGGCCGGACACAGCAGTCTTGGGTGTGCTTCCAAAAATGGAGCACAGCACACCTGGTGTGTCTACATACGTGCAGACAAAAGACACATGAAAATAAAATCTCTAGAGGGGAAAAAGGAGCCCAGAAGCGATAGCCCAAGATGGAGGGAACGGCTCCCAGCCCCAGCTGGTGGTGATTCGGGACCCAGTGGCAAAGCAGGGGTGCAGAAATAACAGGGCACTTCTGGGGTTCGCCATGGGCCCTGCAGACCAAGCTAAATGTCAACATGGAATTGCTGAGGCCACGGTTCCTGTCCAACGTAAAGCCAAGATGTTTACCTCGCCTCCCAGACCTATTTCCCAAATAATTCCCAAACAGGCCACTTTCAGCCCTAATCCTTCCTCCAAACAGCCTTCCTGAACCAGTACTATGTAATCAGGTGCTTTCCCATATTTCTAGCTGCCAAGGCCAGCCTTACAAAGAAAGTCATTTTATCTAGTCCGTTAATTCTGCAGTGCTGAGCGGATCGAGCCCAGGATCATGTACACTATAGGCAGGTACGACCACTGAGCTACATCCCCAGCATGGAAAGTAACTGAAATAACCTTTTTAGCTAAGTCTTGTGGCGAAGGCCCGTAATTCCAACTTAGGCAGTAGTCTTCCTGTCTTGGCCTCCAAAGTGCTGAAGCAAAAACAGGTGTGAGCCACCATGCTGAGCTATAACTTCTCTGGCTCTATCTCCGGGGACCGTACACCACACCTTAATACTTTCTCTCTTTTTTCTTTATTTTTTTGTTTTTTAGAGTCAGGATTTCTCCATGCTGCCCTGGCTGTCCTAGAACTCTCTCTGTAGACCAGGCTGGCCTGGAACTCACAGGGATCCTCCTGCCTCTGCCTCCCGAGTGCTGGGATTAAAGGCGTGCGCCACCACCGCCCGGCGCACTCACTGTTCTTTCACAGGCCTGAGACTGGGTTCCCAGCCCCCACATGACAGCTCACTGCTGCCTGTAATCCCACTCAAGTGCCAGGATGCAGAACCCTCTGGCCTCCGCGTGCGTATGATGCACATAAACTCATGCAAATACACATGAAGATTTTTTTTAAATGTTTAAATTTTAATTAATTAAAAAAAACAATAAATTCAGCCAGGGTCTGATCTTTCAGCCCTGTAATTTTGGCATTGAGGAGGCTGAGAGAGTGGGAGAGACATTAGTTCTAGGCTGGCTGGGGCAACAGAGACACTCTCTCGAAACCAAACAATTCAGCAAGTTGAGAAGGCCCCTAGGAAGAACCTGTAACTGCCACCTTTTGGTGGTAGCCTGATCCCCATATTCCTCCGCCTACCTACACTGGCAAACCTACTACATAGCAAGCAAGAGAGGGGACGAGAGGGGGACTTGTGCCCGCCTCTGCTTCCCCAGAGTCACCACGCCTGGCGGGAAGCACTGCTATTCCAGAATCACATGGTCCACTCCCAGGAACACACCAAGAACAAAGGAGAAGGCCAGGCAGGGTAGCACACACCCCTGACTCCATCACCTGGGAAGCAAGACAGGGAGATCTCTGAGTCTGAGGCCAGCTTGTGTGCATAGGGAGTTCTAGACCAGCCAGAGCTACTACTAGGGAGACCCTAAAACAAAAACAGACTGAAAAGGCCGGTGGGGTGTGTGTGTGTGCTCAGGGACAGCACACTCATCTGCTGTCGAAGGCCCCCAGTTAATTTTTTATTTTTAGATTTATTTATATGTGAGAGTGTTTTACCTGCATGTGTATGCATTATACGTGTGCCTGGTGCCTTCTGGAGACAGAAGGCATTGGATTCCCCTGAACTGGAGTTAGGGTTTTGAATTACCAAATGGTTCTTGGAAGTGAATCCAATCTTCTGCGACAGCAACAAGTACTTTTAGCCATTGAGCCATTACGTCTGCCCTGGAAGGCCCCAGTCTAACCCCCAACACTGCAAATAAAGTCACCAGGCCTGGCAGCGCACATTGTACTCCCAGCACTCAAGAGGCTGAGGCAGAAGAATCACAAATTGGAAGCCAGCTTTGGCTAATCACAAATTTGAGAGCCTGTCTCAAAACAGGTAAACAAAACAAAAACATATTAGACTCATATCTGGAACATCTGAATTGATAAAAAAGGGATTTGGATAAATAGCTCAGTTGGTAGAGTGCTTGCCCTAGCATACACAAAGCCCTGGATTCAATCCCCAGTACTCCAAAACAAACAAAAAACAAAAACAGCCGGGCGGTGGTGGTGCAGGCCTTTAATCCCAGCACTCGGGAGGCAGAGGCAGAGGGATCTCTGTGAATTCAAGACCAGCCTGGTCTCTACAAGAGCTAGTTCCAGGAGAAGCTCCAAAGCTACAGAGAAACCCTGTCTCAAAATACCAAAAAAAAAAAAAAAAAAAAAAAAAAAAAAAAAAAATCAATCCCCAGTACTACGTAAAGGGAGAATGATGGTACACACCTATAATCCCAGCACTCAGGAGGGAGAGGCAGGAGGATCAGAAATTCAGAATCACAAGTTTGAGGCCACCCTGGGACACATGAAACTCTGGCTCAAGAAAAAGGAAAACAAAACTTACTGAAGTGTTTTAGTACTACTTTACAAAATAGATAAATTGGGGCTGGGCGGTCGTGGCGCACGCCTTTAATCCCAGCACTCGGGAGGCAGAGGCAGGCGGATCTCTGGGAGTTCAAGGCCAGCCTGGTCTACAAGAGCTAGTTCCAGGACACGAACCAAAAGCTACGGAGAAATCCTGTCTCGAAAAACCAAAAAAAATAAATAAATAAATAAATAAATAAATTGCCAGGAAGTTCTAGAAAGATGCCCACTATTGTATGTTAATTACTCCTTAATAAAAATGACTTAAGGGGCCTGAGAGATGGCTCACCACCGCAGACAAAATCCAGACAAGGCTGTGTAGGAAGTGCCTTATCCTGCCGAGCGTTGTCTGGTGGCCACTGCAGATCCTAACAGGATGCTTATAATTCTCATCAAGCCACTAGAGATTTCTTAATTGTTTTCCTTTGTGGCACTCAGGGACACCAAGGGAGGTCATTATTGCAGACAAGCAGGCTAGGAGCCCCAGCTTCATGGGAGTTTAGTCGAGCCCTGAGGACAGAGCCAGTGGAGGAGCCCAAGCCCCCTCCCCCCAGAACAGCTTAAGTGAAAAACTGGTCTGGAGATTCAGCTTGAAAAAAATGGGAACTTGAACTTTAAAAACCAGGGTATAAAGCAAGCATCAGAATTAGCTTCCTAGATTGGTGAGCAGGTACCCGGCCCTGAGGTGTGTTCTCATCCAGGCCCGGATGCTACACCTGGGGCTGTGCCAGGAAAATTTTATTGCGAGGTGGTGGCAGGCCTGTTCGGTTCTGGAGTGTGGGTGGAGCCGCCTGCCCAGCCCCTGAATAGGCCTTTACAATCTGGCTTTGAGTCTTTCTCCTGAGTGGATGATGATGTCTTCCTTCCAATCCATACACTCCTTTTCCTTTTCTTACAGAGCTGGCTGGGCCTCCGAGCACCATGGTAACAGGAGTGGCCACAGTAGTTGTGTTGTATCCTAAACTGAAGGGGATTAGGCTGAAGTTTCTAAATGTGATGATTGCTGTCTGCTTCTCAATGGGACCTTTATCAGCTGAGCGTTTCTCCTAACCGGGCCGGAGTGTGTGCTCAGCATGCACAAAGCCTGAGTTCTGCCCCCAGCACTGTAAAATAGTACTTTATAGCCCTGGTTTATAGAGCTATGTCATCACAGACAGGTCTTAAACCCTGCCCAGCACTTTACACTCAAGTGAGTGTCGAAGCCGCTGCAGACCTGGTGTGAGGCCGCTGTGAACTTGACTCTGCTGTGATGTGCTCTTAGTATTGATTTGGTTTTTTGTTTGTTTTTGCCTGTATATGTTTTATGGTTTTGAGGCAGGGTCTCATACCCCCCAAGATGGTCTTGGAGCTCACTGTATAGCCATGACCTTGAACTCGCAACTTCCTACCTCCACCTCCACAGGGCTGTGATTATAGGCAGGCGCCACCATGCCTGTTTTTCTGTTGTTTGGTTTGTTTTTTTACCTACGTACAGTTGTACTGGTTCATGTATTTATTATTGTGGTGGTGGTGGTATGTGTATGTGTGTGTCTGGGGGCACAGAGCTTGCATACCCCTCACCCACGTGGACAACTTAGTGGAATTAGCTCCCTCCTTGTACCTCCTTCACATGGGCTCTGGGGATTGGACTCGGGTTGCAGACTTGTACAATGAGCACTTTTACCCATTGAGCCATTTCTCAGTCCTCCAATTTTGAATTTTTGTTTTTCTGAGACAGGGTTTCTCAATAGCTATGGAGTTTAGTCCTGGAACTCGCTCTGTAGACCAGACTAGCCTTGAACTCACAGAGATCCACCTGCCTCTGCTTCCTGAGTGCTGGGATTTAAGGGGTGCACCACCACTTCCCAGCTATTTTTGGATTTTTGAGTTAAGACTTCACTATCTAAGCCAGGCTGGGCTTGAACTCATGACCCTACTACTTCTGCCTCCTAAGTTCTCGAGTTACAGGTGTGTGTCATCAGGCCAGCTCTCAGTCCTTTTCTAATCTTACAGATAATTTGGAGAAGGTAGGACTTGACTATTTCCTGACGTTTCTTTCTCTGGGATCTCTCTGCCAGGTGGTGGTGGCCATGACTTTACTCACAGCAGTTGGGAGGCGGCAGCAGGCAGATCTCTGACTTCCAGGACAGCCAGGGCTATACAGAAAAACCCTGTCTCAAAAAACAAAAAGACAGGGTCTCACCATGTAACTTTGGCAGGCCAGGAACTCAGAGATCCTCCTGTCTCTGCCTGTCCAGTGCTGGGTTCAAACGTGTGCACCATCACACCTGACTGCTCCCTGCTCTAGAAGTGCCTCTAAGACAGTTCCGGAGTGGGCCCTTAAACAGAACCCAGAATTCGCTGGACTTGGTGGAGCTCGTCTTTAATCTCAGCACTCGAGGCAGGTGGATCTCAGTGAGCTCAAGAGCTGTGGATTTCAGGACAGCCAGGACAAAAAAAAAAAAAAAAAAAAAATGAAG